CAGAAAGATTACTACTACACCAGAGAATACACACAGGTGAGCGTCTCTATTCAGGTTCACAGTGTGGGAAATGTTTCATTCAGAAAGAGACTACTTCTACACCAGAGAGTACACACAGGCGAGGGTCCCTATTCACGTTCACAGTGCGGGAAATGTTTCAAGGGCAAGGGAAACCTCCTTCAACGCCTAAAAATTCACATGGGTGAGTGTCCTTATTCATGTTCAGTGTTCGGGAAATGTTTCACTTAAAAAAAAAAAAAAAAAAGTATCCTTGATCGACACCAGAGAATTCACACGAATGAACAACCTTTTTCAACCCCCTTCCTGGCTCTTTGGGAACTTTTAAATACTTGGAGGTGGGGCATTTGGGTCATAGTACCGCTGTGATTGGCTGTCCCAATGGTTGCATGATCGCTAGTATGCTTCAGGAGCTTTCCAGCACCCACCGGGAGCGCGCAGGGTTCCATTACGGCTGCTGGCTGGGCAGATAGCAGAGCAGAGGGATAGCAGCAGCCTCAGTCTATCTCCGTCTTAATCGTTTCCAACGCGTTTCATCCTGACTATGGGGTTTAATCCTGGAGGTCTCCCCTGTGAGGACGACGAAACGTGCGGGGGGCATAGCTAAGGTGCCTAAGGCTTCTGCTATCCCTTCCATGCACGATATTGCTCGGTGTGTGGCTCTTGGGACACATTCTTTGCTTTTAAATCTCTCTTTTTTTGGAAGTTTTAATTTCGATTCTTTTATTCTGTGTCAATCACGTATTCGGATTCACTAAAGTAAACATAAAAAAAAGCTCAATATTTTGATCCGCGTCCAATTTTCAAAATGAACATCTACAATTTACGTGACTATTTATTTCAGGTACTCATATAATGCCGTCAATTTACTCAGCTCTTTACATATATATTGTACATTCACATCAGTCCCTAACCCTCAAGGGGCGTACAATCTAAGGTCCCTAACTCACACTCATACATACACATACTAGGGCCAATTTAGACAGGTGCCAATTAACCTACCAGCATGTCTTTGGAGTTTGGGAGGAAACCAGAGTACCCAGAGGAAACCCACACAGGCACAGAGAGAACATGGAAAATCCAGGCAGGAGGTGCCATGGTTGGGATTTGAACCAACGACCCTAGTACTGCCAGGCGGAAATGCTAACCATTTAGCCACTGTGCTGCCCATATATATATATGTATGATTTTGAATGTTCGCCCACTCACAAAGAAATGATCGGTCTAAAAATCGAATGTTCGGTGTATTGTAACACTGAGAGACAGAATAGCAACAACAAATTCAGCAGAAATGCATGTCTAACAAATGATGACTGATCTGCATGTTCATGAGGGAAATAAGGATTTGATCCCCTTCACAAAACATGACTTAGTATTTGGTGGCAAATCCCTTGTTGGCAATCACAGAGGTCAGACGTTTCCTGGAGTTGGCCCCCAGGTTCGCACACATCTCAGGAGGGATTTTGGCCCACTCCTCTTGGCAGAGCCTCTCCAAGTCATTAAGGTTTGGTGGCTGACGTTTGGCAACTCCAACTTTCAGCTCCCTCCACAGATTTTCAATTGGCTGAAGGTCTGGAGACTGGCTAGGCCACTCCAGGACCTTAATGTGCTTTTTCTTGAGCCACTCCTTTGTTGGCTTGGCCGTGTGTTTTGGGTCATTGTCATGCTGGAACACCCATCCACCACCCATTTTCAATGCCCTGGCTGAGGGAAGAAGGTTCTCACTCACGATTTGATGGTACATTGCCCCGTCCATCGTCCCTTTGATGCGGTGCAGTTGTCCTGCCCCCATAGCAGAAAAAACACCCCCAAAGCAGAATGTTTCCACCACCATGTTTCACAGTTGGGATGGTGTTCTTGGGGTCATAGGCAGCATTCCTCCTCCTCCAAACACGGCGAGTTGAGTTGATGCCAAAGAGCTGGATTTTGGTCTCATCTGACCACAACACTTTCCACCAGTCCTCCTCTGCATCATTCAGATGTTCAGTGGCAAACTTCAGACGGGCCTGGACATGTGCTTTCTTGAGCAGAGGGACCTTGCGGGCACTGCAGGATTTCAATCCTTGTCAGCGTAGTGTGTTACCAATGGTTTTCTTGGTGACTGTGGTCCCAGCTGCCTGGAGATCATTGACAAGATCCTCACGTGTAGTTCTGGGATGATTCCTCACTGTTCTCATGATCATTGACACCTTACGAGGTGAGATCTTGCATGGTGCAGCAGACCTACAGAGACTGACAGTTGTTTTGTGTTTCTTCCATTTGTGAATGATTGCACCAACTGTTGTCACCTTCTCACCAAGCTGCTTGGCCATAGTTTGGTAGCCCAGTCCAGCCTTGTGTAGGTCTACAATCTTGTCCCTGACATCCTTGGACAGCTCTTTGGTCTTTGCCATGGTGGAGACTTTGGAATCTGATTGTTTGATTGCTCCTGTAGACAGGTGTCTTTTATACAGGTAACAAAATGAGATTAGCAGCACTCCCTTTAAGAGACTGCTTCTAATCTCAGCTTGTTACCTGTATGAAGGACACCTGGTAGCCAGAAATCCTGCTGAATGATAGGGGATCAAATCCTTATTTCCCTCATGAACATGCAGATCAGTCATCATTTGTTAGACATGCATTTCTGCTGAATTTGTTGTTGCTATTCTGTCTCTCAGTGTTACAATACACCGAACATTTGATTTTTAGACCGATCATTTCTTTGTGAGTGGGCAAACATTCAAAATCAGCAGGAGAGCAAGTACGCATTTCCTTCACTGTATATATAAATATATATATAGAGATGTGATTTGATGCAGCCCTACCACCCTGTAGCAGTACTTCTGCCATAGGGCAGTCAGGAAGCAGTTGATGAGACGAGGAGTATCGAAGGTCCAGTTCTACACGTGAGTCAGCCAGTGCTTTATGGATAGATGGAGCCTCTACAATATTTCACAGTATTCCCATTGCTGCCATCTTGGTTGACCTTATGGTCGTGGTGATCGGTTTTAGAATGTCCCAGCCATGTTCTTCATCAGTGGTAGGTCTCAAGAACCATGGAGATCATCAATTCCATGCCGGACCAACATCCTGTATATGACTTCTGAAGGAAGAATGAAAGGTCCATCTCCATTCCTCAATATAACGTCATGTTCCCAACAAATGAGAAGGAGATACTGGACACCATATGAAAGTTCCATCTCCATTCCTCAATATAACATCATGTTCCCAACAAATGAGGAGGAGATACTGGACACCATATGAAGGTCCATCTATGTTCCTCAATATAATGTCACGTTCCCAACAAATGAGGAGGAGATACTGGACACCATATGAAAGGTCCATCTCCATTCCTCAATATAACGTCATGTTCCCAACAAATGAGGGGGAGATACTGGACACCATATGAAAGGTCCATCTCCATTCCTCAATATAACGTCACGTTCCCAGCAAATGAGGAGGAGATACTGTACACCATATGAAAGGTCCATCTCCATTCCTCAATAGAACGTCATGTTCCCAACAAATGAGATACTGGACACCATATGAAAGGTCCATCTCCATTCCGCAATATAACGTCATGTTCCCAACAAATGAGGAGGAGATACTGGACACCATATGAAGGTCCATCTCCATTCCTCAATATAACGTCATGTTCCCAACAAATGAGGAGGAGATACTGGACACCATATGAAAGGTCCATCTCCATTCCTCAATATAACGTCCTGTTCCCAACAAATGAGGAGGAGATACTGGACACCATATGAAAGGTCCATCTCCATTCCTCAATATGACGTCATGTTCCCAACAAATGAGGAGGAGATACTGGACACCATATGAAAGGTCCATCTCCGTTCCTCAATATAACGTCATGTTCCCAACAAATGAGGAGATACTGGACACCATATGAAAGGTCCATCTCCATTCCTCAATATAACGTCATGTTCCCAACAAATGAGGAGGAGATACTGGACACCATATGAAAGGTCCATCTCCATTCCTCAATATAACGTCATGTTCCCAACAAATGAGGAGATACTGGACACCATATGAAAGGTCCATCTCCATTCCTCAATATAACGTCATGTTCCCAACAAATGAGGAGATACTGGACACCATATGAAAGGTCCATCTCCATTCCTCAATATGTTGTAATGTTTAAAAGAAATGAGGTCAGGAGTAACACATGAGGCCTCTGTATCTAGCAAATTGTCCATCACTGTTGCACGCCCTATAAAAGGTCCGTCTCTGTTCTTCATCAAGTTTCTAAGGAATGAGGTGGAGGAAGGTCCATCTTTGGTCTCACAGTAACAATGTCATTGATGCAATCACTATTACTGAGGGTGTTTATTGTGTTTTGTATCCTTTGTCTGGTTTGTATTCATATTTTCTGTTCTGATTGCCCCAATTCCATACCAGAGCTCTGAGATACTGTAGAGCGTTATACCAACATCCTGTATATGACTTCTGAAGGAAGAATTCCTCTAACATGGAAACGTTGATTTCCAACAGGTGGACTCTATGTCTGGAATAACGGATCTTCAGAATATAAAGCAGATGAAGATGCCACCACACAATGTCCTCCAGGAGAAAATCCCGATACACAAATAATACACCAGAGACCTCATCACTCGCAGAGACCAATGGATTCCTCTAATCCTGAGGGATCTTCCCATAACCCACATACTATTACTGCTGACACAATTCTTAGATCTCCCAGTCCAGATACACCAACAGATCCATCTCATCTCAAGGGATCTTCTGTAAACCATGAAGGAGATCACACAGCAGAGTGTTCCTGGTCATGTACGATGTCTGGGGAATCTTCCAAAGAAACCGGAGAGCCTCTTACACACCAGAAAGGTCACAAGAGTGAGCGTTTTTTCTCATGCTCAGCGTGCGGGAAATGTTTCAATCATAAAGGAAACCTTCTTAACCACCAGAGAGTTCACACAGGCGAACGTCCTTTCTCGTGCTCAGAGTGTGGGAAATCTTTCATTCAGAAAGGACACCTCCTCAACCACCAGAGAGTGCACACGGGCGAGCGTCCTTTCCCCTGCTCAGACTGCGGGAAATACTTTAGCGACAAAGGAAACCTCCTTCAGCACCGGAGGACTCACACGGGCGAGCGTCCCTTTTCGTGCTCAGAGTGCGGGAAACGTTTCTATCAGAAAAGAGACCTGGTTGTTCACCAGAGAATTCACACGGGTGAGCGGCCTTATTCGTGTGCAGAGTGCGGGAAAGCTTTCATTAAGAAAGGAAAACTTGTTATCCACCAGAGGATTCACAAGAGCGAGCGTCCTTTCTCATGTCCAGAGTGCGGGAAAGGTTTCAGTCAGAAAGGATACCTTCTTAAACACCAGAGGACTCACGCAGGTGAATGGCCTTTTTCCTGTTCAGAGTGCGGGAAAGGTTTCATTCAGAAAAGAGACCTTGTTATTCACCTGAGATATCACACGGATGAGCGTCCTTATTCATGGTCACACAGTCACACGCAACACGTCCTGAACACGTCAGAAGTGAGGACCGTATTACTATAATTCCTGCAGACCTATACCTACCATATCACACCCCCCAAAAAATACCACCACGCCTCCATGGAGGCCACCCACCAGATTCTCCAAACTATGACCCTCCAGGTGTTGAACTACAAGTCCCATGAGGCCTTGCAAGACTCTGAAAGCCCCCAGGCAAAACTCCCAGAGGCATGATGGGACTTGTAGTACTTCAACAGCTGGAGGGCCATAGTTTGGAGACCCCTGGCTTAGAGAGTATGCCAATGTCATGTCTTTAGTTCTAACTAGCCAATGGCCACTAAAGTGTTCCTGAACCCCCAACAGTACAATCAGTCTGTAGATGCAGCACAGCATGCTGGTTATACTCCATGTGGGACCTAAGGGGTTAATCCTCTGCATTGTGTAAAGAAGGCTGTTTGATTCTGTCTTCTCTCAGTACAGGGCCAATCAGCACTGTCCAGAGGTCAGGGGTTCTACATCCTCCTAGAGCAGAATTAAAACTCCTTCTAGAAGCTTTAACCTGTGCTCTGCTGGACACTGATAGAAGTCACAAGACTGCTCTATACTAATGATGAGAAAAAGGGATTTAGCAGTTTTTATTTACTAAAATAATTGCATTTCCATGTTGTGTGTGCTGGGGGAGACCGGATATAGTGAATGCGGGGTCCGGGGAGAGCGGATATAGGGAATGCTGGGTCCGGGGGGAGCGGATATAGTGAATGCGGGGTCCGTGGGGGGCGGATATAGTGAATGTGGGGTCCGGGGAGGGCGTATATAGTGAATGCGGGATCCGGGGAGAGCGGATATAGGGAATGCTGGGTCCGGGGGGAGCGGATATAGTGAATGCGGGGTCCGTGGAGGGCAGATATAGTGAATGCGGGGTCCGGGGAGAGCGGATATAGTGAATGCGGGGTCCGGGGGAGAGAGTGAATATAGTGAATGCGGGGTCCGGGGAGGGCGGATATAGTGAATGCGGGGTCTGGGGAGCGCGGATATAGTGAATGCGGGATCAGGGGAGGGCAGATATAGTGAATGTGGGGTCCGGGGAGAGCGGATATAGTGAATGCTGGGTCCGGGGAGAGTGGATATAGAGAATGCGGGGTCCGGGGAGAGCGGATATAGTGAATGCGGGGTCCGGGGAGAGCGGATATAGTGAATGCGGGGTCCGGGGAGAGTGAATATAGTGAATGCGGGGTCCGGGGAGGGGGCGGATATAGTGAATGTGGGGTCCGGGGAGGGCGGATATAGTGAATGCGGGATCAGGGGAGGGCAGATATAGTGAATGTGGGGTCCAGGGAGAGCGGATATAGTGAATGTGGGGTCCAGGGAGAGCGGATATAGTGAATGCTGGGTCCGGGGAGAGTGGATATAGTGAATGCGGGGTCCGGGGAGGGCAGATATAGTGAATGTGGGGTCCGGGGAGAGCGGATATAGTGAATGCTGGGTCCGGGGAGAGTGGATATAGAGAATGCGTGGGGGGTCCGGGGAGAGCGGATATAGTGAATGCGGGGTCCGGGGACAGCGGATATAGTGAATGTGGGGTCCGGGGAGAGCGGATATAGTGAATGCGGGGTCCGGGGAGAGCGGATATAGTGAATGCCGGGTCCGGGGAGAGCGGATGTAGTGAATGCGGGGTCCGGGGAGAGCGGATATAGGGAATGCGGGGTCTGGGGTGAGCGGATATAGTGAATGCGGGGTCCGGGGAGAGCGGATATAGTGAATGGGGGGTCCGGGGAGAGCGGATATAGTGAATGGGGGGTCCGGGGAGAGCGGATATAGGGAATGCGGGGTCTGGGGTGAGCGGATATAGTGAATGCGGGCTCCTGAGTCTCTTTGTTGACCTGATCTCCAACACATGCGGTTTCACAGATGTATAAAAAACAAATACAAAGTAACACTCAGTTAAACACCAACCCCTGATGTTGGGAGCGCAGACGGCGGATGGGACACATTAGCTCTCCTATAGAGAATATACAGAAGATTCTTCTATATCATATTTGGTGTCTATCAAATCATAATTTGGCAGCAGTAGATCTTATCACCATCAAAACTACCAGACTGGATGTCCTCTGAACGGACCAAAGACCAGATTAGCTTTTCATGTGTTTTTTCTACCTGTAATCTTTTTTTTTTTTTTTTACTTTTACTGCTGTGAATTGTCTGTTTTGCAAAATATGTTTTCTTGCACTGCTAACTTTTCATTTCAATAAAATATTTAAAAATCATTCAGCTGAATCTATAAATGTTTTAGGCCCATAAATTATGATTCGTTGCCTCTTTGGGAGGGGGCTGCCGCGTTTTAAAACTCACATTTCAGTCCTGTCTGTCACAGATACTACTTAACCTCCTCCCACCGATGGGCGGCTTCTCGGCGGGTGGGCTTTAACGCACAGAGGTTGCATATATGTGGCCCTATGTAAACACTTTTCTGTGCTGAGAGCGTGCATCCACCACAGTCGCCGGTGGGGGACCGGAAAGCTTCCGATGCATGTGTGCGATCGGGAGCTTTCCGATCTTGTGAACGCTACCCACATGGAAGAAAAATATATTTGAAATACTACAATTTTGGCCGTATTTAATATATTTCAAAATATATTTCAATAAATATATATATATACACCTGTATGTTGAAATGTGTTTTTATTACAAAATATCTGAAAAATATTTAAAAAAAATACATTACACATTTGCATTATTTGTATTTAACCACGTCCTGCCCGCCATATAGTCCAATGATGGGCGCAAGGTTGTTCTTTTGTTCTGGGACGACATCATATGACGTCCTCCCATTCTCACCACACATGCGCGGCTCAGGGAGCGTGCAGCACGGTGATCGGCGGTGCGCTGTGTCCCTTGGACACAGCGGATCACTGATCCACGGAAAGAGCCGAAGATATTGGCTTGGTCATGTGATCAGCTGTGTCCAATCACAGCTGATCACATGTAAACAGGGAAATGCTGGTTATCGGCATTTCTCTCCTCTTGAGCTGTCACGCTGACAGAGGAGAGCCGGTAATCGGCATTCCTCGGAGGGGACATCTACACTGATCATCACAGCACTGATGATCAGTGTAGCCCCAGCAGTGCCACCTGTCAGTGCTCATCAGTGCCACGTGCAGTGCCACATCAATGACACATATCAGTGCCCATCTGAGCTGCCTTTCAGTGTCACCCGTCAATGCCACCTATCAATGCCAATCAGTGCTGCCAATCAGTGCCACCTATCAGTGCCTGTCAAGCCACCCAACAGTGCCACCTAACAGTGCAGCCTATCAGTGCCCATCACTACAGCCTCATTAGCGCACGTCAGTGAAGGAGAAAAATCACTTATTTACAAAATTTTATAACAAAAACTAAGAAAAAACTTTTTTTTTTTTCCAAATTTTCTGTGGTTTTTGGTTTAAGAAAAAATAAAAACCCCGATGTGATTAAATACCACCAAAAGAAAGCTCTGTCTAAAAAGAATGATAAAAATTTCATATGGGTACAGTGTTGCACGACCGCGTAATTGTTATTCAAAGTTGGCCTGGGCAGGAAGGGGGGGGGGAGTGTCCGGTAGTACTTGAATAAAAACATAAACAACAAAAATGATAAAAGCAGATTTGAATGTACAGCAGTACACAGTGGGCTGCATTATCACATTCTCCACAAGATGAAGATCTCTCCTGTGAGCCTGGAAAGCAAAGAAGGAAGTGATGTCATCTACAGACAGGAAGCAATGTAGGGTGAAGACAGGAAATTCAAGAAGAGAGGTTATTTGGTAGGAAATTAAGAGATTACAGGATTTTGAGGCAGAACAGGTAATATATTTTGGTTATTAGCCATAAAAATAGAACCATTTATCCAACCGTCCATCCGGAGCCTCTGGTTTATATACCGGATACGTCCTAAATATAGAGCCATTTATCCAACCGTCCATCCAGAGTCTCTGGTTTATAGACGGATACGTCCTAAATATAGAGCCATTTATCCAACCGTCCATCCAGAGCCTCTGGTTTATATACCGGATACGTCCTAAATATAGAACCATTTATCCAACCGTCCATCCAGAGCCTCTGGTTTATAGACTGGATACGTCCTAAATATAGAACCGTTTATCCAACCGTCCATCCAGAACCTCTGGTTTATAGACCGGATACGTCCTAAATATAGAACCGTTTATCCAACCGTCCATCCAGAGCCTCTGGTTTATAGACCGGATACGTCCTAAATATGGAACCGTTTATCCAACCGCCCATCCAGAGCCTCTGGTTTATAGACCGGATACGTCCTAAATATAGAACCATTTATCCAACCGTCCATTCAGAGCCTCTGGTTTATAGACCGGATACGTCCTACATATAGAACCATTTATCCAACCGTCCATCCAGAGCCTCTCACATCACTCTTATCTCTATAAATAAAACAAGGACCAGACCGGAGAGGTGAAGAGGATTCTGGGAAGTCTGTGGTGATAATTGTTACTTCCTCTCTATACACAGGGATATAAATTAGGGAAGGAAATATCTGGTGAGCCTTTACCACCCAGCAGCCATCTTCACATGACATCACCCATCACAGGGCCTCCACCTCACTGCCTGACAACAGAGGGAGCCAGTGCCAAGAAGATTCTGGAAGTCACCCAGAAGATCCTTGATCTGCTGACAGGAGAGGTGAGCGGTGCCGGGAATTCTGGGACATTCTCCAGTAACAGACAAGGGATTTGTCTGGATGGTGACTGTATCATTGTGTGTGTCAGGTTCCTATAAGGTGTCAGGATGTCACTGTCTATTCTCCATGGAGGAGTGGGAATATTTAGAAGGACACAAGGACCTCTACAAGGACGTCATGATGGACAATCAGCCGCCCCTCACATCACCC